GACGGCGGGGCAGGGGCTGGGCTCGGCGTGCGAGAGGCGCGGCCGTCAGACGGTGACAGCGGCGGCCATGGCTCCCGCCGCGGCACTGACAGGCTGAGAGGGGAGAGCCGTTGCCCGCCGCCGCCGCCGTGTCTCCCCGGGGACAGGCCCGCCACCCCGCCGGGCTGGGCAGGGGAGGCGCGGTGCCCACCGCCGGGGAGGGCAGGCAGCGGTTACACCCCCCCAACCCCAAGGCAGGCAGCGGGGGAGGGCTCCCCGGACGCCCCGCCGTTCAGAGACAGGGGGGCGGCAACCGGCGGGCGGCAGGTGGGACCGGGAGTCCCCGCCGCCTATCGGGAAGGGGTGTTGGAGGTGCGCTCCGGTCCTTACCTTCTCCCGGGAGCCGGCGGCGGGACGCGTCCTCCCTCCCTCTCTCCTTCTCTCTCTGTGCGGATCCGACAGAGGAACGGGTGCCGCCCGCCGCCCCCGGCGGTGCCTAGGGGCTCAGGCTCAGCCCCGGCTCCGGCCGCTGTGGCCGTCGGGTTTGAAAACACCCCCCTTCCTCCTCCTCCGCCGCCGCCCTCCCTCACCCCGCGCTGCCGTTGCCGCTCCCCCCCCACCCCTCCCCTTCCCCAACAGCCGCGGCTGGAGTAGCGCTCCGCCGGCCTCCCATTGGCCGCGCCCCGCCCACGTGGCCCCCACACAGGGGCGGGCGGGCGCTCCCGCGGACGTTACACGGCCCGGGCGGCGGTTGGGGAGGGAGCGGCGGTTGTTATTGGGGGGGGGGAGAGAGGCAGGGTCACTGTAACGCTCTGTTCCCCCGTGCGGCGAGGGATGGGCGCCCCAGCGGGCTCCTCGCCGCTCGCTCCCTCCCGTCCCCACCCTGGGGGAATAACGGGGCTCTGCAGGATGCCCAGGGGCGTGAGGGAAGAGGGTGGCGACGGGCGGGCGGCGAGCATCGTGCGCACGCGCCGGGGCAGCCGCGCTCTCGCCTTGGCGGCGGCCGCTGGAACTTTCTGGAAATGGCGGCGGGTTCCCCCCCCCACCCGCGGCTGCGGGCGCGCCTGGGGGTCGTGGGGCAGGGACGGGGCGAAGCGACGATGAGCCTTCGTATCCCCGCGGGACGGCAGCGGGACGACAGCGGGACGGCAGCCGACCGACAGCCGCCAGCGCGCCCCGCGCGGCGGCGGCGGCGACTCCCTCCCCGGGGAGGGGTTTTCCGGCGGCGATGGCGCAGTGAGTTTTTAACAACCGACGCCCTGCGCGTGCGCGGCGGCGCGGCCGAGGGAGGCGGGTGCGGCCGGTACCGGCACCGGCGGCTGAGGAGAGGCCGTTGCCCCCGGGGCTGGGGGGGCGCTGAGAGGAGCGCTTCGTCCTGGGTAGGCCGCAGTTGAAGGGCCCCGCGGGTTTTGGGAGAAGCCTCAAAGGGAGGCAGGTGCGTGTGGCGCGGGGCCGGAGAGCCCGGGATGGGGGGGGCGATGGCCTTCGGGGCACCCGCGCAGAGGCTGCGGGAGGAGGAGGAGCAGCCCGCCGCGGCCGCTGGCCTGCTCGGTGCCTCCTCCCGGGCCTGGCGTTGTCTGGAAGCGGAGTCCCGCCCGCCGCATCGCATCCCATCCCGGCGGGTGCGGGCAAAGAGCTGCGGGACCCTCTGTGGGTGGTGTGCGGGCCCCCAGCCCCGCGGGCGGGTACAGCCTGCCGTTTGCAGCTTAGCCCGCTTCCAGTTTTTAAAGGAAAAAAAACGTACCCAAAACTTTACAACCTTTAATGCCGGTAAGCTGGGTGTCATATAAATGCATCAGAAGTAGACTGGAGTTAGTCCTAGTTGCATTGTTAAAAACTAGCCATTCGTGTGCACTTGTGGAAAGGTTCTGCATTTGCTTATTAAAATAGTACGTGGTAAGACTTTAAGAATCTGTGTGGTTTTATGTTCGGGGTTCTTGAATAATACAGAATGTTTCTGGAAGATGAGTATAGGTGGGCTGTCAGATGTAGTATTTTGAGAAGGCAGCTAAACAAAGCCCTTCCATTTGATGTAGTCTTAATTGCCATGCTCTGTCTACTACTGGATTGCTTTCATCTGTTACTGGATAGAAAGCAAGCATTCCATAATACTTACTATGCAAGTCAGAAACATGAATCTCTCAGAATTAAAAGATTACTTTGATTAAGGCTGTCTATTGTGTGAAGTTTCCCTATATTCTGATCTCCACCCATCTTGTTTCAGCATGGGTAGGGAATGGCATCACAAATCTCAGCAGTTCCCATGCTGCACGTCATCTTACTGTTTAGGCAAACTTCTCATTTGCTTTCAAAATCTTACTGTACAAGTGCTGGTACAGATCATTTGTGTTGTAAAACAACTGCCTTCATTTTCATTTGGTGCTGTTAGCGTATCTCAAGTACCGTCAGCTCACCAAGAGCAGCAGGTGTGGTGGTATCCATGACCACATAACAAAGGGAGTTGCATTCACTTCTTTCATGTCAGGTTAATTACAGAGGTCATTGCTTGAGGTGACAAGCAAATTGAAGAGCAGACAGGCTACCCACTGCCAGTGTAAGTGGAATAGGAACTGTTTCCCAAGGCAGAATGTTTGTTCTTCTCACAGCACTAATGTAGGGATGATACTGATGATTCACCTTTTAAAACACGACAAGCTACAGGTATCGGGCAGTGGCGTAATTTGGCATTTTGGGCCTTGTGCATCAGCACCAGTAGCTTGCAGTTACAGGGTTTCAGTGGGGTGTTGGTAGCTGTTCACAGCCAGCAGCTGAGATAACAGGGTAGGAGTCTCATGAGAAACATCTTCTGCAGCAGATGTTAAGATTTGATAATAATATCTATCAGTAACAAAAAATACAGTTCCTTAAGCCTTTTGTAAGAACTACTATTTGGACTTGGAAGCAGCATCAGCCAGTTAATTGCTACCCCCACATTAGTTTCTCCCCCTTGTTTTCTTTCCCTTCTCCCCTTGTCGTCTTGTCTCCCCTCCCTTCTACGTAGCACAGCTGCAAAATGCTTTTGTAGCTGTACTCTGTTGGTGTGCATAGTACTTCCCTCGATCTGCCCTCCCTAGTGAAATATCGTGTGGTATCAGCTCTGTGAACTACTAATCTTAATCAGGACAGACATGCACACAGTCTGGCTGAACTGTGTCATTGCTGAATTCAGTCTAGTAGTTAAATGACTGAAAATCTCAGACTGCAGTACAGTGTATCTAAAATAAGAACTGTATCCTAAGAACTTGCAAAATGTCACACTAACGAAAGCACACGCACTAGTCTGGGTAGTTAACTGGCCGGTCAGTGAGCCCAGCTAACGTACATACTGAATTTCATTGCTTCTTCCTATCCCATCACAGAACACCGTTCCAGGCAACATTTTTCTAGCAGCGTGTGGAGGTCACAGAAATCCTTCCCGTTATCCAACACTGAATGCATCATGGGGTTTCTAGTGGAGTTTCCTGTTACTCTGAACTTTTCTTCCATCTTTACCAAAGGAAAGAACCACCACCACCCACTCTATCAGTCCAGTGGATTCTTTGTGTGTCTTCTGCTTCCATGTTCTAAATCTTATTTCCTAAGACTGTACCTGTTTTTCTTAAAATCTTCTCTAGGTCCCAGTTAAAGGGCTTTTCCTTTTTTTTTTTTTTTTTTTCCCACTTCCATTTGGAGAATTAATACAGCATGCAAATACTCTCATTTTTCCCTCATTCAAGGGGAGGGGCAAACAAGACCACTGAAAACAGAGAATTGGTTCCATTACTGCTGTGTTACCACTTCAAAGAATGTATTTGTTGTCACTGTAGTGAACTCATTTTTCATTTAACTCCCCACCCAGTACTCACACAGTCCAAGCTATTAACCGGTAGAACGAAACTGCAGAATTAAGTGTTTAATTATTTGACAAGTTAGCATCATCTGCTCAGAATTAAGATTCGTAACCCTCTGCTACTGAGGATTGAGAATAATGGAAATTAGGTCCTGTTAATATTTGTTACTTAAAACATTCAATACTCTTAGTAAAAGCAAGCAATCTGCAAGTATTCAAGAATAGAAAAGAAAACTTGGATATATTAATTAAATGGGTAAGATGAGAAAGAAGAGTAATGGTTTGCGTGTTTCTCTTCAAATATTTGACAGTCCTATAGCTGCCCTAAAATACTCTATTTTTGAACAGTAGTGTGTCAGATTTGTACGACACAATAAGGATAAACTATTCTTTTCTAGCCAAGGGATTGGCAGACTGTTAGGTGTTGCATCAGAATGACTGACGTACTTGTCTGTGGAACATCATTAACAATTTCCACCAAATGGGGAACTACTGAAGTCCATGTTCTGCTCATGAGACAGATATCAAGATGTTCATGTACAGATGGAATGAACTGGGGAGAAAAATGTGACAAGGCAACAAATTCTGCCCAGCTTTACCAGTGGGAGAAGTCTGGCATTCTAGGGCTTTGGGTTTGTATAACTGAAGTTTCAAAACTCGGCAGGTCTAAACTGTTCTGCAGTCCCATCAGTTTCACAGTTGCATACAAAACCACAAATAATTGTTGCACGTGATAGTTCCATAACATATGCAAAAACCCTCCTTTATAGTCAACGTATACTTTAAAAATAGTTGCCTGCTTTCATACTAGGTTAGAATAAGGTAATCCTATAGGAACTAGAATACAGCTTTGTTGTTAGTTGAGCAAATAGCTTAGTTATGGACTGAGTCTCTCTTTGGATCAAAATGTAATGTTCTATCTCACTTCATGTCTCTAGAGAAGTGTCACATCACGACAGATGCTTGGCCTGCTACAAGGCCTCTGGCTATTACAAATGCTAGAGTGACCTTTCAGAAGAGCTTTCAGCAAGTTTAAGTTACAGATAATATTTCAATCCATGTACTATTTTCTTATATGCACAGTGTTTTATATCACTTATACACAAGGGTTTTTTTCATGCTTATTGGGTGACAGCTTCACTAATGGAATGTAGTTATTTATCGAATTTACTTTTCCATTTGTATGCAATTATTTCATTTTACAAAATTTAATAATGTAGAAGGGATAGCAAGGTTTTTCATACAAATGATACACATTTTGCTCTCAGAACTACCAACAGCAACACTACTTGTTCAACAGTAGTACATTAAGAACAGTGTCACAGAGCCTACTGAAATAAAGGTGGGGCATGAACAGACTATGTGAGATAATCATGATGCAGGGAAAGCTGTAGACAAAAAATTTGACTCTGAAGAAGCAGAACAGTTTATGAAGTATTGTTAATCAGAATATCAAAACAAACTAAATATAATATAGAATAAAATATAAATAATACAGTTAAGCTACATCTGTCACATTAACTGTAATAAGAATGTAGGTTACACAGCAGATTTTAGAAGAGGCAGACACAATATGGTCTCAAGTGACATGTTCACATTTCCTCATGTTGAAATGTATATATGTGTACATATATAAAGTATTTGCTACATTTTACAAGCATGTGTATTAAGTGTCAATATGCAGTCAATTTTATAGAAAAAAGTTGATCATTTTTTCACATCAGGAGACTTGTTTCACACAGATTAGTTCTTAAAAGTCACTGATACACAGCAGTAAGGTCAAAGAAGGATCTGTGAGTCATATAACTAGTTTCATATATTACACTTGGTCATGTATCAAGCTGTCCTTGTATATTCTGTGTTCCCCCAACTGCATACCTTGGTTGTACTGAATAAATTTGTACAGGAAGTGGTTTCTTGTTGCTGTTCCTTCTTTTAGTAAAGTACTACTGGTATTTGGGGGGAGGGGATTGGGGTTGTAACATGATAAAAAAAAGATCATTTTCACCTTTGCTAGACTTGTAATTTAGTCAGTTTTGTTGCTTCTTCAAAGAACCTTAGAAGTTGAATTTTCAGTGACAGGTCAAAAAACACAGCTTTGATCTCTCAGTGACCGTAAGTGCACTCTTTCACTGAGTCACAGAACCACTTCTCTTTTAATCTAGAATGATGATTATGCTTTGCAGTAGTTAAAACCATGGTAAATTAGACATTCTAATTGCTGTTGCTTCTTCATTTTTTTTAAGAAGTACTAGAACATACATCATTTTACTGAGATTAAAATTACTTTATTCTTTTCAGACAGTTCATCTTATATTACAAAAATCCTTAGAGGTCAGGTCGAACTCCAAAACCTGGTCCTTTGGGCGGTTCAGTCAGAGAAGTAAGGCCACCAGCTGGCTCACAAGAAAAACGTCCACTCCTGAAAAATGAAAGCAGTTCTATTCATTGCTGGTCTTGTTATAACCCCAGATGTTGTTCTGGATAGAAGACAGTTACAAATCTGACTTAAGGCTGAAGTAACTTTTTTTTTTTTTTTCATTCTTGCTATTCATCCTTCAGAAATGTGTCACACAACTTCTAAATCAAAAGGATTCCACATTCAAGTACTGACAAATGGTTTCATAACCAAAATGCAAGACAGAACTACTAGTTTTCTTTTTATTTATAGGTTAGCCAAACAAAAATGATGCAGATCCTAGTAATACAAAAGGCCGTATCCAACTGTATCAGTCATATTTTTGTTAAAGATGCTTCCCTGTGTTTGGAAACTGTTTTAAGATTATTCTTTCACAAACTTGTGATTTTTCTGGGTTTTTTTGTCAGAAATCAATAAAATAAAAACCACGAAACAACCAACAGGCATTTATTGATTAATATGATCTAGACAAAAAAAATTCAACAGGTGATAACCATTCCCCTGTTGGGTCCTAATCCAAATCAGAATCAGCATTTTCACATTTTATGCTCCTCTAGCCAGTCATCAAGAACATGAAAAATTCTTAGTTCTTTCCAGTTCTTTTTGGCTTTGGATATAGAGAGGCACTGAATGCATGCCATTGTGTTCAGTAAATTAATAAGAATTTTTAGCTGTAGGTTATTAACTCCAGTCAGTGGAACAGGAATTTAGTTTCTGTAAAGAATCAGCCTTCAAGACTAGTTGGCCATTATTATGCAAATACAGCATACCTTGGGCCAGGTTTGGGAACCTTGCCAGCCTTCAGCTCATCAATTATGTTTTCAATATCTTTAGGTGTCAAATCTTCCTGTTGAAAAAAAAAAAAAAAGGAAAATTCAGATTATTGACAAAACAGAGTCAGCAATTATACTAATTGCAGCATTCAGATTCTTCAGATAGTGGCTCTCTTAGGTGTGATCCTAGCATAGGTAATTTTGATCCTGTCTATTAACACACATAGTGGTTCAAAGAGTTAGGAAAATTAAAAAGCCTACTGTCAATTTAATGTTACAATTTTTATTTCATGTGTAGTTGCATAAATTATGTTAAAACAAACAATGTTGATGCGGGTCATCTATAACATGGGTTTGTGTTTTCAGCTTCCTTGGTATATTGGTGAGCTGAATTTCTGCCTACCCAGTACACACATCCCATTGCACATACTGCAAAATGGTGTCAGCTGTGACAATAACAATACCAGCAGCATCCCAACTGCATGAGTCAAGACAATAACTGAAAGGAAGAATAAACGCTACACTGCGATGCAGATGAAGTGTTCTAGAAAGATGACCAGGAACTAAAACATGCTCTAGGACAGAAGTTCTCCCTGCAAATAGGAATTTTAATTAACTGTCCAAAACTTCAGAATCTGAAACAAGTGAAAATACAGGTAACCCAGCAAAGCAGTTTAATCTTTTAAAAAGGAATGTAATACTTACATAGTAATTGTCATTTATTTGTACCATTGGTGCATTTACACAAGCACCTAAACATTCCACTTCTATCAGCGTGAAGAGCTTATCAGGTGTTGTTTCCCCAACTTTTATACCTAAGCCAATAAAGAATATTAGGTTCAGCAATGGTTACTGAACAAGATTAATAAAGCATGAGTGTAAGTACTCCATAGACTTCTCATTACATGTATTTTGGCCTTATAAACATTTGCAAAGTTAAATCCTCTCAAACGAGTCCAAAATGTTTCCATTAAACAAAAGATTCTAATAAACTGTAAACTCAGCCTTCAGATACATTTTTGAGACCTCATTGACAGGTATGATGTATTGAAAAATAACTGTGAAATGACAGTTCTAAGAAACAGAACAGCTCTACTCCGGAACATTTTTAGTAATCCATACAATGGAAAAATAGAGAAAACATAGCTTTCATGTGCTGATAGGAAATACATTAATATACAGTGTTGAGTTCCAAATTCTGAAATTAATCAAGATCCAAGCATTAACATTGTTAGCTACAAATTCTGAACACCTTCCAGATTTTTACACTAAGGCTTATTTCCTGAACAACTCTGTACACATATTTAGCTTCCATGACACATTATTGTTCTAGTGCTATAGATACAGGCCTTCCCCAGAGGGCAGGTTAGCCAAAATAGCATCTCAGAGTCTGATCACAGCAAAATTCTCCATGGAAGAAAGAATGCTGAAAAGCAGTTTTCCTCTAGAGTTCTTAGAAGGGGAGGAAAAACCTAATAAAAGTCTAAGGCCTGTGTTTCATCCTTAATGCTTTGACTTCTCAAGCGAAGAGTTTCAGTTAAAATTAATCTATCTTTACAGTAACAAACCAAGAAAAATTTTATCTAAATACGCCTATTCCAGACAACAGAATATATGAAGAGTTATGTTAACAACATGTCTGCCATCCAGAGGGACCCTGACAGGCTAGGGAGGCAGCCTGTGCAAACCACATGAAGTTCAACAAGGCCAAGTGCAAGGTCCTGCACTTGGGTTGGGACAATCTCAAACATGGGCATGAGGGGGATTGAGAGCAGCCCTGAGGAGAAGGGCTTGGGGGTGTTGGTGGATGAAAAACTGAGCATGAACTGGCAATGTGCACTTGCAGCCCAGAAAGCCAACCGTATCCTGGGCTGCATCAAAAGAAGCTTGGCCAGCAGGTGGAGGGAAGGGATTCTGCCCCTCCACTCAGCTCTCTTTGAGACCCCACCAGGAGTACTGTGTCCAGCTTTGGAGCGCCCAGCACAAGACAGACATGGACCTGCTCACACGAGTCCAGAGGAGGGCCATGAAGATGATCAGGGTGCTGGAGCACCTCTCCTATGAAAACAGGCTGAGAGAGTAGGGGTTGTTGAGCCTGGAGACAAGGCGGCTCCGGGGGGAGCTTATAGCAACCTTCCAGTACCTAAAGGCGGCCTACAGGGTCCACTCTTTATCAGGGAATGTAGTAATAAGACGAGGGGTAATGGTTTTTAAACTGAAAGAGGGTAAATTTAGAGTAGATAGTAGGAAGAAGTTCTTTACTGTGAGGGTGGTGAGGCACTGGAACAGGCTGCCCAGGGAAGTTGTGGATGTCACTTCCCTGGAAGTGTTCAAGGTGTGGTTGGATGGGGCTTTGAGCCACCTGATCTCGTGGAAGGTGTCCCTGCCCATGGCAGGGGGGTTGGAACTGGATGGTCTTTAATATTCCTTCCAACTCAAACAATTCTATGATTGTATCATCTTACTTAAGGAATAAAACCCTCACAAACAATTGCCACATAGCATATACCTTACAATTCTTATTTTGCGTATCAAAAAGTGCCACAGCATTCAGAGTCCTCAACTATATATGGGATAGGGCTTACTTTCTCAGTCCAAGTCATATTACAACAACGCATTTCCTGGCAAAATGCTTTTAAAACCACTTTAAGACCACTGAATCACACTCCAGACAATACTATTCTCCAATGATTTGCCTCTGTATTTTCAATACTATTGCTGTATCCCCACCATATGAGAAATTCTACTTCAGCTTCATTAAACAAAAGTAAAAAAAATAAATTACAAGAAGTATGTTAAAATTTGTGTCATACCCAGTTTCTTCTTAATGGCTTCTAAGATACTGTCAGAGTCTCGCAGCATGCAAGGTGTGGTAGTGCAGACCTGAATGTGGTATTTCCCCACGGGTTTGCGATTATACATTGTGTAGAAGGTTGCTACTTCATACACTCTCATGGGGGGCATTTCTAAAATTTCAGCAACCTGTAACAAGGAGAAAAACACACACTATTGAATTCTCACAGCACGTTAACAAACCGTTTCAATAAAGTCACCTGTCCTCTGTCTTCAGTAACGGATAAATAAGAGGAGGGGATGGGTATCAAAGCACAGCTGTATTCAAATGCCAAGAAAAGACACCCGAGTTACTCCATCTGGAGTCACCCTGCTCAGGCACAAACTCCACCGAGCCATGGATTAGCACAGCGAGGAGCTCAAGTGAATTCCCTCCAGCATCGAGCACCACACACAAGGTAGATGCGAGGAGTCAGCTGGGTTCCAGCTTCCATTGTCAGCTCCAGCTCATACCACACTTCTGCTCTTCTGCTCTATGAATGAACGAACTTGGACACACCTGCCCACACTAACCCACGTAAGCCTTTTGCTAAGGGAGCACTTAAAGGCTGGTACTGCTGTCACCTAATTTAGATACAGCAGGTCTGTCTCAGGTTCTGTGACACACCAGGGCTGCAAACACCACTGCTACATCTGCAGATTGGCGTCACAGCTAACAAACAGGGAGCAAAGCGCCATCTCCACGGAGCCAGTTCTGGTAGAAGTATCCCTGACCTCATTAACCTGGAACCCTGGCAAACCGCTCACGTTGAGAACTGACTCTGTTTTCAAAACCCTAACTGTTTTATGTTCCAGTCTCTAGAGCAGGCAAATAACAGACCATGGAAAATATTTGCTCACTTAAAAATCTTAAGATCTTTTTAAACATAGTATCAATCAGAAACTTAGAGTAAATAAACAAAAATACTTTTCCCATTCAGTATTAATGGAGATTTGAGGCTTAATGCTGCACTGTAGAAACAGTAGCAGACAAAAAGTGCACTTAAATCCTTCAGTAATTTCTGTAATGCTCACAATCCTCACTTAGCATATCTTCATTGGATTTAAAATTTTTCACTTTGATGTTATGCCAGATTGTAACACAAATTATGATATATTGATTCATATGAACACAAACTGCAATGTTTTAAATTTTTTTTAAATTTGATTACTGTCAAGCAACCTATCACTTTGGAGTAGTGTACTTGCTTGCTTATTTTGAAACAATTTTAATAAATAATTTGATAAGTCTTCCGGGCACTTGCTGTGAGGCGTTATAAAACACTCGTGACACATACTATACTAATGGTGTTTTGCAGAAGTCTTAAAGATTTGCAGAAGGCCTAAAGATTAAGTACAATCCTGGCAATGTGTGCCCTGCCACTGATCTGAGAGAAGAAAACAACCACCATGGTTATCTTTTTTTCTTTCCCCAAATTCAGGAGTGAACAAAACATTTCAAGTTTCTGTTTCCACTTCCAGGGTAATTCTGGGAAAAGAGCCTATCTAAATAAGGCTTCTGTAATTTTTGGTTTTTTCTGTCTGTATTTTCTAGCAATGGGCTAACATTATGTAAACAACAGAGCCCAGAGTTCCTGGGTTAGTTTTCCTTTTTATTTTTTAAAACATAGTCTCGTAGGGAATTCTCACAGTTCTGTGCCACATGTACACTTTGATAAATAAACACTATTGTTCTAGTAAGATATTTAAAGGAAACAGTAAAATTATGCTTGAGAGATAATTAAGTACTAAATACCTTGTTCATAGCCGAGATGGGCAACCATCCATGCTGTCTTTGGGCCAAATCTAGTACTGCCATGACAGCTGCAGACTTGTGTCCCCCTGGGTAGTTGTTTATGATTGCTTCTATTCGCTTTTTAAAGGGAAAGAGGGAAAAAAAGTCAGCACTGATCTCAAGACAAAGTCTATGTATTTAACTTTTTTTCTCTGCATACCTTTTGGTTTTCAGGTGTGAACTCAAACGGAGTATCTGGATTATTTTCAGGACTATCTCTGTGCTTCAGGAAAAGAAAAAGAAAACATGTAAAAATAGTGTTGTCAGGAAATTGAGGACAAGTTTACTGTTGCCAAATATCTTCTGCCTAGACAGTCACAGTTGAGTTGCTTGAATAAAATAAATATATTCCAGATAAAAAATTCATAGTACTCAAGCATAAATGATAAAATATCTCAGGGAAAGTTATAAAAAATGTTGGTAATTATTTCATCACTTTAAAATAATGACTCATTCCTGTTGTTTCCTACTCAAAAATATTTCTGGTGTTGTTATCAAAACATGTATTTTTTAACTTAATATAGTTTGGCAATTATGTTCAAACTTATCACAGGTAGATTAAGAGTCTTCTGGTTAATGCCTTAATAAACAACAAGAAACTAAAACAGCCCTTTTTTTTTTTCTCCTTTCTTTTCCCATAAGACATTAACTATAAAAAATTACAATTCATCAGGAAGCTTGCTATACAACTAAAATGTTTGCACATTCAAACACACATTATTGACCCATTTTAACATATTATTTTGATTTGTAATGGATTTCAACATTTTAATTTTAGATACAATTTTGAATCAGAGTGGAAGAAGCAGAATTTTGAATTAATATTTTCAAAATAAGCCAGTCTATCTTTATTTTTAAAGTGGTCTTCTAGGAAAACATTGAACTGAAATTAGTTATTCTATTTTCAGAAAACAGAAATTTGGAAGTCTTGAAGAAAGTGACATTTTCCTTTAATAAAATATTGGTTCTGGTGAAAATCCTTATCCACCAGAAAAACTTCTTGCACAAAATTTTCAGTTATTTCTAAGCAGCTCATTATGGTATCCTTGAAATGCTCGTAGCTAGGTTTAATTCCAAAATTTATACAGCTTCCAAGTTGAGAAAGTTTCAAATTAAATGGAAAGTTTTAGGAAGAATGCAAGCTATACTTGAGGCTTCATGTTAAATGCAATCCACAACCAACTAATAATAAATGCTTTAAAAGTATATTTAGGATAAAGAAACCCACTCTGTTGACTTTCACTTTTGTAATTTTCTCAAGTAGCCTAGGGTGATTTTGCAGTTTCCACACTGGGTTATTAAGCAGCAAAGGATTTAATGAAAAATCTTAACACTGCAAGATACCTACATACTAAAAGATTGTAATCAGTGTGGAACTTAAAATATGTATGGTCCATAGCTATTTCTGGATTTAGAAATTTTAACATGGAAATACCAAAAGACCAAATACTTAATTTCCATTACATCTGTTGGTCTAGCAAGATATTCCCTTTGCTTATATCCATAGCCTGAAGCAGAGAGTACTACTACCACCATCCATTTGAGAGCATGTACTGCTATCACAATTCCAATACAAATATTCAAGTACAGTCAATATCTACTTCTCCACCAAGGAAGTCTTTCCCCTAATACCAGGAATTACAGGAAGATAACCAATTCCCTTTGAACCCACTAATATTTTATTAAGTATGAATTTATTACTTATTGTGTAGTCTAAAACATAACATAAACCAGCTTTTTAGGAACACAATTGCCACTATTTTAGACTGACCCTTCCAGAGAAAGGATTTGACTCCTGATATGTAGTGCTGCTGAGGGTTTTCTGCCAATTTAATGGAATTTCTCAAAAAGAGGCTGATGGAGAAAAAACTGATAGGAAATACTGTGCAACTTTCAATTTTTTTCCCCCCTCAGGACCTGTTCTGTGTCTTAGTTGCACAGATCAATCCATGATTCATGATAAGTATTTCCAGAACTTAACTTTTCCTTCTCAAATCTGCATGCCTGTTTCATTTCAGGTTGCTGTTTTTCCTCCCATAGCTATTTGATAGTTACAGCTGCGCTTGATCTTAATTTCTTTTTGATTTATTAAAATCTGTCTAGAACAGCTGTTCTTTTCAGTGTATCATCTCTAAATTGATATCCTTAAATACCTGACATGCGAAGAGGAATAATAAAGTCTATATCTGAAGCTAGTTTGCCGCACATTCAGTTCTGTGCAGCAAGACTCAAAGATACGTTGTAAAGGCTACAGCACAGCTGAAGGCCAAATAAGATCACATCACCATTTTTTGCTTTTTGTTTTCCTAAGTGGGCTTCATCTAAGTCTGCGCTGTGGAAAATTTGATAGTTTTCATTGCACGCTTAAATAGTTCTAATATTTCTAATAGTTCTACTGAGCTGTTAGGAATTTGTCAGTATTCCATTTGTCTGAGGATACACCATTTATCTGAGACTTAAATGAGCTGATGTGCTCCTACATGATACCGGTGCATTTCTGCCTGTTTTTTAGAACACAGATTCCGCAGAACAAGATCAGAATTAAGGACACAGTGTTGGAAGGAATACTGTGTTAAATCACAGAATGGTTGAGGTTGGAAGGAACCTCTAGAGGTCATCTGGGCCAAACACCCCTGCTCAAGCAGGGCCACCCAGAGCTGGCTGCCCAGGACCATGTCCAGATGGCTTCTTCTGAATGTCTTCAAGGTGGGAGACTCCACAACCTCTCTGTGCAACCTGTGCCAGTGCCTGGTCCCCCTCACAGTAAAAAGTGTTTCCTAATGTTCTCTGAGGCCATTCCTTCTGGTCCTGTCACTGGGCACCACTGAAAAGAGCCTGGCTCCATCCTCTTTGCACCCTCCCTTCAGGTATTTATAGACATTGATAAGATCTCCCCTCACCCAGCCTTCTCTTCACAGTCCCAGCTTTCTCAGCCTTTCCTTATACAAGAGATGATTATAAAAAAACCCCAACATATTAAGGCTTCCTCCATACACAAACTAAGTACAAACAATGGTGTCTGTACCAACTATAGCCATTTGTTGAAAAGCAAGATCAAGCTCTACCCAGGCATTTTTTCCAGTTCCCTTCTCATGCTGCCAGTTTCCTGAAGTCTTACACAGTATGTTTTCATTCCATGCACAGCTTGACTGTATCACATTTGTATTGCAGCATTCAGCCTAACCTACTTAGAATGTGAACGACTGCACTATGAAGGCCTACTCAAGCCACAGATGATCATACTCTTCCATGGAAGGTACTAAGGCTTCTGACTGTTCATCTCGCATTCATTTTACTACACCATCCTGGGACATTTTATTATTCTTTTTCAGTAATCAAATCATCTGTCTTCCTTGACACAGAGAATTATTAAAGAGTGCTGAAGAATTACAATAGAATAACTAGAATAATTTAGCTTTCATGTATATTGCAAAAAAGTTGGCCTGAAACTTGACCTATGCCCAGTCCAAAACGCTGTAAATCAAAATGAGGGGACTGTGTGGTCTGCAAGGGAAAAGGCGTTTGGGGCAACCACCTGTTAAGAGCCCATATCAAATCAGCAATGAAATTTATTACTTCTTTTCCAAGGGGAAAGTATCCTACATTGACTATTGTCAGCAGAACTCAAGACATAAATCTCTCTTAAATTAATAATGGTGGAAGTGCTCTCAGATCCAAGTATTTTACTGACCATCTTCACAAGTTAACTCTTTGACACAAGAAAACTCAGTCCGTGTGTCAAACACCACAAAGTAAAGAGTTAAGTTTTAGCTGTTAAGGAGGCCACAGACAGGTAAAAGTCAAAGATAGAGAAGGCATGTTTAAAGAAAGATAACTATTGTAAATAAAAGTATCTTTGAAATCAGGTCTTCCCTAGCCATCGGAAATGTCACAGATTTGGAGGAGCTCTCTTAGGTTACGAGGGAAAAAATCTACCTATTTTTAAACCTGATACAGTCTTTCTGGAAGCGTGATCTAGCTGCCTGTGATGGCACCAGATTGAGTTTTAACGGTTGTGAAAGTCTCTTCTCAGCTGCTCAGAATAAAAAGGAGTTTCAGTAGAAGTTTTCTTATTTCTGTATGTTTCTGATAACACAAGTAAGGAAAAGAAATTGCATGAAAAAAGTCTGCAAAGGGATAAAAGGGCATGCAAATCAGCACTGCCTTTTAATACCACATTTTAAGACAACCGTGTCCCCTTCCAGGGTGTTCCTTGCCATTACAAAACAAATATACTGTATGCATCTCCCTTCCTCACATATAGATTTCACGTGTGGAAAGTGCAACAAGCACCACCAACATGCTTTGAAAAACAAAACCAAGACACTCCTGTGTAAAGTAATATACAAGAAGAACCACCACAACAGGTTAGAGTTATTCCCAGGTAAACCTACTATTCCTCTGCAAGCAGGTTTAAACAACCTTTGACACTTCATCCGCTTGTAATATTCCAGAAAACTAGACTTTTTTTAATGTTGGGTTTTTCCTCCCCTAGGAAAATCTGGGCTGGGGGGGCAGGGGAGGGAGGGGGGGAATTCACATTTTCTGATTGTGTACAAACACCTAGTGTTGATTAAAATAATGCCTTCAGCTCAACTCAGCAGGAGGCATTTCCCTTGAAATGTGCTGCGTTAAGTAACTTCTGAAATTTACTCTGGAGGATTTTAGTTGTAGTTAGAGAAAAAAAACAGACACACACACAATGGCATCCAACTATCTTCTTCCCATAGCCTTTTACTTCATAGAAGAACTAATATTACCTACTAAAAACACAAACAAACCAACTCACACACACATAAAACAACCCCCCACAATTTCCTACACTCTTCTAGGAAAAATCCTGTTGCAGAATAAAAATAAAGGAGTGAATGATGTTATTAAATGAAACACCTGGATATCACAAATAGTTAACTGAACCACAAACTTTACTTTTCTATTCCCCTCTCCATTTTCAGGCTGCTCCCTCCAGTAGATAATTTAGACAGTTACATAAATCTTGAAAAATTTACAAAGCTATCTAGCTTCACATGCCAGGCACCAACATCCATTAGGGTGCAAAAGACACCTTTTGCCTGTCTTCACCAACCTCAAACGACACTAGAGGTTTCCTAAGTTGTCAGCCTACACTGTCTCCTCTATTCCTTGAACACCACCTCTCACTCCATCAATCATCAGTGACTGCTCATGTTTCTGGAAAAGTGTAAGAAGCATGTACTCTAGTCCCATTAACTTCGTCTTATGTGAAAAGCTGTGGAGACAGCTGCAGAAAGGCAACAACAACAATCTGTCCAAAAATGCTGAGCACCTGCTTTCAACAAAGTGGTCAATTCTCTAGTAAAGTGTTGATTTCCACCAAATGCTGAAAAAATGCCAAATTATTCAGCTGTTGAATTGCAGACTAGTTAAAGCTCCAAAGGGATCAGAATGGGACAGAATATACCTCTCAGAGATGCTTCAGGTTCTTTAGAGGTAGATGGACAACATGTCTGCTTGACACATTTAAATTTGAGGGCTTTTGTTTTTGAAATTACTATTTATACATATTGTGATAATGCCTAATGGTCTCAATTATTAATCGTTACACAACATGCTATGTGACATACAATACAAACAAGAACTGCACTTTTCAACTGCTAGTGAACAGAGTTAGATCTGGACCTAAAGGTAATTCTGTGGCAAACTTTAGAAAACAAGAAACTGGGCCTGCAAAAAGTTATCAACTTCAATTATAAACTCAACTAATTTCCGTTAAAAAAGGAAACAAAAAGTGGTTTAAAATTAAATAAATATAAACAGTTTCACCTGCAATCACACACTGATCCTGCTAATATCACCATTGCTATTAATAAACAGCAGTTTTCACTATATAAGGAAAGAAATACAAGGCCAAAACCTAAAATAAAGCCTTGTGATACTCCCATTGCAACTCCAATAAAACAGTCTGCTGACAGAACACTCCTTGGTAAATTCCAGCAGGTTTCTATAGCAAGTTCTGCCCATCAGAAGCTTTTAGCCAAAAGCATGTGTCAAACTCTTTTTACACATCCCCCTTCCAGAAAGGGATTACTTACCACAAATAAGGCTCCTCCACTGGCATTGCGCACTGCTGTTCTGTGTAAGTATCGGATTTGTCTTACCTACAAAAAATAAGTAGAGAGTATCAATAGTTAGTAATTTCCACGCTGCTAGACTGCTGTCAGAACCAGCTTGATTTCTATTCTAATTGTAAGCCATTAATTCTACTGTCATCACTAATAATTTAAATCAAGTCAAGAAGAGAATGTTAAGGGCTCTCCCATGCTATTAGGAGGTCAAATGTCTTACCTCACCTTGACCATTTCAGACAACATACAAGTTAACGGACTTAACTCCAAACAGGTAATACCCTGCCACAGCTTAATCTAAATGCCTTGAGTACTAATTCTCATCAAACATTTTATGAAGGATTTTGCAATTTGTTACTTTATATAACAGCCTTTAAAAACTTTGCAGAAATTACCATTATTGAGGTTCTTCTCTAGTAAATATTTACATGCTACTGTCCAGTTAGGTAAAAGCTGAAGAAAGATCAGGCATAAGATAACAACACTAAGAACCTGAAATAAAAACAGGACACAAGAGCCATATGCAAGTTGTGTTCAGCTGTTCTTTGTACTCTCTCTCTGGATCCGTCATGCCAAAACAGATCAAGACTGCTACATTCTGGCCAGTATTTCTAAAGTCACCTGATGATATTATCTTGTCATCTGCAAACATTCTATAAAAAAATAATTTTATATTAATTTTTACATTAATTTTACATTATACCAATTTTGATAATTCTTGAAGAGAAGAATAGCATAGTAAAAAAACAAAAACCCTCCCTTAACTACTTAATTTCTATTACAGTATAAAATTTGTGGGATTTCAAGTGGATCAGCATTAAACTAGCAAAAACAGGCACAGGGTCAAATCTGAAATCCAAGCCTAAGTACCAGGGAACTACAGCGCCTGCTCTTCCGTAACAACAACCTAATCAGCTCAGATCACATAGTTTCACCTGCAGTGTACTTTCACACGATGGCTGCAGTCTCTCCCTGTCATACGATCAGTCCTTCCAGCAAGCACTGGATGTGCTGTGCAGTTATTTGTATTATGTAGTATGCACCCATTTCCTCTTTGCTCTCCACTTCTGGCTCATATAGAAGCAGCAACCAGGAGAGCAATTCATCCATCTCCTGCCATTCTCTGTCATAGGCCAAAATGAACTGTGGGATACATGGGTAACTATGGACTGCAGATCCTTCTTGAGTGCAACCTCTTCCAGGAGACTCTCAGTCTGTTGTCTTCATCAACTGATACAAAGCACATCAAATGAACTACACTCCCATGCCAATTTGAGTGCCCTCTGTGAGCCAGACAACATATAAAATTCAGACAAAAGACTAAAAAGTGTAAGTAGAGCATGAAAACGCAAATGAAATTCTGCAGACAATGCTGAAAAGAACATATAAATGAGGGTTTGATGCTGTAGTATAAAGCCTACTAAATGCAAAGTAAACATCGCACATACGCAGGTTTGGCTCTGAAGGAACTACCACCACATTGTTAAGCTTTGGGTTTCTCACTGTAAGAGGCATTCCTACCAAAAGATGCACTTCAGAGGAAAACCCTTTATTCCCTCCAAATATAGCATGCTGCTTCCAAGGACTAAAACCTGTCAATTTCAAACTTTAAGAAGAAATAGGACGAGCCCCCGTTTTCTGCACTGGCCTGAAGGTCTGCAGTTCGTATGAAGAGTCGACTCAGGACTGAAAAACAAACTAAGGGGCTTCCTTCCAATGGTTAATCTCACGTAATTGGGCAAGTCGGAAATATCATTTCCCCTCGGGAAGCCTCCCAATAACCTACAATAAGCACCAAGCAGCTACTGCTGGCGCCTCTTTCGCTGGCAGCAGGCGGTGCAACTCTAGAGCCGGTCCGGTAACCCCGGCAGGCCCCGAGGGCCAGGGAGACACCCCGGCAGCGACGCCCTTCCACCGGCTGCACCAGGCCTTTCCTCTCCGGTGCCGTGCCCCGCCGCGGACCCCCGCCGCCTGCCCGCTACGAGGGCAGCACCCACCCCGCCGCGGCCTCCCTCCTCTCCCCGCCCGCCTCCTCCAGCCAAGCGGGCGCCCTGCCTCGGCCGGCGGAGACAGACGCGTCGCCGCCGCCACCACGGCAACAGCCTCCCTCCTCCTTACCGAGCGTGCGGCCGCGGCCCGCAGGGCAGCGCGCAGGAACATGGCGGCGGCAGCAGAAGCGGCGACCCCAGGCCCCCCCCCCTCCGTTTCCCTTCCCTCTCCTTGAGGCCTAGGCTCGCCCTCCACACAGCCGCAAGGAGACGCGCCCCGCGCATGCGCCGGCCACGCCCGCCTGCGCCTGCGCGCCCGGGAGCGAGGCGGCGGCCGTTAGCGGGTGACGGGTGGCCGTTAGCGGGGGTCCGTTAGCGCCGTCCGCCGTGATGGCCGCTCGTCCAACGGGAGTGGGTTAGGGGGTGGCCGGTCAGTGTGCTCGGCTAGCAGGTATCGCGACTGCCCGCTCTGCAAGGAGGCGTTATCCAGGCTGTCAGAGCTTGGAAGGCGGCAGCGGAGGGCTACGAAGATGATGAGAGGCCTGGAGCATCTCCCTCATGAGGAGAGGCTGAGGGACTTGGGTCTTTCTAGTCTGGAGAAGAGAAGGCTGAGGGGGGATCTGATCGATGCCTATAAATACTGAAAGTGTGGGCGTCAAGAGTATGGGTCCACTCGTTTTCAGGGGTGCCCAGGGATAAGACAAGAGGAGATGGGCACAAACTTGAATATAAGAAGTTTCACCTAAAAGAGGAGGAACTTCTCTACCTTGAGGGCGGCAGAGTCCTGGCACAGGCTGCCCAGGGAGGTGGTGAAATCTGCTCTGCAGACATTCAAAACCCGCCTGGACATGTTCCTGTGCAACCTGCTCTAGGAGGACCTGCTTTGGCAGGGGGTTGGACTAGATGATCTCCAGAGGTCCCTTCCAACCCCATGTGATTCTGTGATGGTTTGTGTCAAATAACAGAAACTACCCACAAGATCTGTGTAAGAATTTTCGGTGAATTTTAACCTTTTGGTGGCATACACCAACGTTAAAAAAAAACAAATTAATTGGGAAGTAAATATCTGAAATAAATGGAAATTGCAGAAACTGGTGACATTTTTTCGGCCTCTCTTTTCCTCCTTTCTACCCACTTTTGTTGATCAGGGTATTTAATGTTCAAACTGCCTGCATCTATGTTTTGACCTCCCTTGATCAAAAAGGGACTAAACATTTAACTGTCTTCTTGGCCTTTGATAAACATTCCAATTTTACAGTAAAATTTGGTCAATACAGTCCAAATATTGGAACTGAAGAAAATCTAAGTGACAGGATCTTCCTTGGATGCAACAGGTTGTTAGAAACATCAGTCACAAGTCCCTACTTGTAGAGACCCCTTTATCATTCAGGTCTTCTGATGAGGAACGCAAATGTATCTCCTTCACAATTGAAAAATCCCATTTTTCAAATAACAGCTAAGAAGGAAGAATTTTATACTGATGAGCACTCAGCATTGTAGATTTGCAAAGTGTCAGCTGATGTTCCAATGTCCCTTGCCATACCTCGTCCCCTGAGGAGAATCTCCCCTGCACTCACCACCCTCTCATCTATCCTGGCTCCCAATGGTGGAGCCTGATTAAAGTCACGCAGTGCGCAGTGAGAATCCATCCACATACATTTTACTTTTGCAAAACTTGTGGTGATCTGCTAGCTAACGCTGTAAGTGTCAAATAACTTTTAGGAAATACGTGATAAAACAGAAATTCAGCTTTCCTTACAGTGTTTTACTTCATCCAAAAGAATAACTTATTTTTTCAACTGTTTACTTACCTTGGATGATCCTTTTAAACCTCATACAAACATTCAAAAAGGCAGGAAAAACTACACTAGGGCAAACTGTTGTTTTGGTTTTTTTTAAAAAAAGATTTCACGACTACAGTATGGATTTGTATGATAAAATGATAAAAGTTAGACCAAACTACGGTGGCTATTGCCTATGCAGTTGCACCCGGAGGCCTCCTATAAAGAAACCTGTGTGTTCAGTGGGACAAGAGCCCCAGTACCTCTCAACAGATTGCTCTAGACAATGCCCAAAACACTACGCAATGCATGTATTAGAACAATTTAAGATACTACTCTTTCAGATAATTGCATATATACATACAGACATACACATATATGTATATATGTGCATGTATATATTGGGCAACTGTGACGTCCTTTTAATAGAATAATTTTCATTTGCACAGATCAGGCAGAATGTGGTACTACTTCTCTAATTAGATTGCTGCCTTTTACGTTTGGGTTTACTGTAGTCAGTGATTGTCTTCCTGCTCCTTATTCTTCATTTCCTCAGTGCTGAGAGCTGCTATCAGCATTTGTAATTTAAGTGCTGCTACCAGTATTTGATATTTTCATTGATTTGTTTTCACTAATTATTTGGTTGCTTATAAACCTCATCGCTGTACTTGTAAACTACCCTGAGATGAATTCTTAAAATACTTAAAAGACTGCCTAAAACAGAGCAAGTGTAATGGTGCAGTGATATTCAAGCACAGATTACAGATTCCGTTACTAAGCCAATTTTTTATATCCTGTTGAGAGTATGCCCTAGGCATACAGTCTAAGAATAGCAAAGGAAATGTATTATTAGACTTAGGGACTGTTCCTGTACAGATAAATTTACAAACATTCATTTGTCTACTATAAAACATATAATCACAGCAATTTGTTAATTATATAAATTAACCCAATACGCATTCTTCGGCTGGATTTCATAAATGTGTTATTAGACAAAGGGAAGAAAAGCATTTGGAAGCATTTGTAATTAAAATACAGTCTGTTTATCAGATGACAATACTAAAAAAATAAATAGTAAAGAGCGTGGCCTTGAATGTGAGCCCGGTGTCTGCAGTGAGCTGCGGACTTGCCCGTTGCTTTGTGCCTTCTGCTTTCTGCGTGCCCTGATGTGCCACCGTCCTGCCCACGCAGGGCCTGCTGCAGCACCATGAAGCATGTGCATATACCTGCTCAACCCACCAGTGGTTCCTAAGAGGGACTTCTATGGGCTGCAATGATTTCAAACAGCTCCTTTTCCCCTGTGACCCATCCCTAAGGGAAGCTGCATTAGGGAGAACAAGACTCCCTTTTGACAATGGAAGTGCAGCAGATGATGTACTTATGCCTCTGTCTCCAACGGGGCAGGTGTGCAAGGACCAGTGAGGAATGTCCAGTCCACCTCTTTCCATAACCTCACACCCTGTCCCCAGCAACCTCCCAAGCTCTAATTGCGTGGGCTAGTAAGGAAGAGATGGAGAAGAGTGTTGTTTTCCACAAATGTAGGCTCGAGAATTATTCTTGCAATCAAATAATTACTTACTGTGTCACTGGATTTCTTTATTAGTCTGCATTATGCCAAATAACTGCTTTCAGGCTTTTGTTTTAAATGGAAACACACATACTAGGGATATTTAATGACTGTTACATTACTCCCCATCTTCAAGTACAAAAAGAAACAAATCAACTTTAATTAATTTTCAATCCATTATTCATGTACAAACATTCACTCTATATTTTCTGACATCTAAAAGTAATACTTCCAGCCATAGCGGTACAAGTAATATTAACCAATCATACTTGAAAAAAATTAATTTTAATTATTTTATGATATATGCTCTAACATTAAGTAATATAAATAGTAATTTGCAGTGTAGGGACTGTGAATGTTGGCAAGCAATTTGAAGAGATTCTTCTGAAAAGAGGTCATCTGGAGAGGACATAAATACTGTCAAAAGGTATAACAGGCTTTTTATCACATTAAAACACCTTCAATCAGCTCTGCTGCAACTATTAAAAAAAAAAGGAAAATGCTATTAAGATCTTTCTGAAACCTCAGCATTATATACATTATACAGTGATCTATTTAGGAAGTGTGAAAACACAGGGAGCAAACAGAAGCTATCATATTAAATAATTAAGATCTAAAAGCATAGGAAAACAAAACTTTCTCATTTGTAACCTTCACATTGCAATACAATGTGCAAAAAACTGGTTTATATGCCCTAGAGTGTTTCAGATGAAAAAATGTCTCTATCCTTGTGATAGAGATTTAATTAATCAATAATTTACATGTACTACAGAGGAGAATTAGTGTAAAGTGTGTTCTGAGACCCATTTCTATAAGCAAAGTAGAGACAAAGCAGGCAATGAACTGCCTGCTCATTTAACACCCTCGCCTGAGATCTGTAAATATTAGAATGGATATTTAATAGCATCATAGAAGGAACTCTTCCAACAAGAGATGACTGTATGGGTAGCGTTGAGGTTATACATGGAACCACTTCTGCAGAACATTTTCCTTCAGGGAAACAACCGCAGAAGGAGAGAGACTGGAAAGAAAATGAGAAGGGATATGGAACATGGAAAGAACACCAGCTCATAATTATTTAGCCACCGCCACAGCTGAGAACCAAACTGGGAGTGAACACCAGGGAATACTGCAGTAGGAGGAGGCTGACTGGGATGACAAAAGCCCTTACTATACCAGAGAAACCTGGGTGGTGCAGTAGGTGTTATAGCATCTGAAAAGAAACTTCTAAAGAAGGAGTATGACGCTCCCACAGGTAACTGGCCATATCTTCTGTGCTGGTGGAATGTGATGTAACTCCACTGAAGGAGAGAGAACTGAACCGATTTTCCTCATCTAAGGACCAGGCGCACTGTTTTGTGAGATATGAGCTTTCACAGCCCATTGTTCTTTTAAGTTCTTTTGTTGATGATCACTTCGCCTCTATTGCTTGAGTACTAGAGATGATAAATTTTCATCTCTGTTCTACAGAAGCAAATGGTAGCAGTACCAGTAAAGGATGGAGAATGACAATGAAAATAGGCTCAAGCTGTATTGGGTACCTAATGCAGATAAAATGCATGTAACCTCAGCATTTTTTATACAACACCCGCTGAATGAATAAGAGGAAGTTTTGCATTAGCTGTGAGACTTGAACTCAGTAAAATATTAATACATGGTTTAGCCAGTTATTTTGGTTTATATAATGAAGTTTGATATATATTTAAATATAAATGTAATCTGTGCTTAAGTTTAAAGATGACTTGTTGGCATTCCTTCATGATATAGTCTGTTCTGTTCTGTATACATATGGCATTACAGATTAGCAACATGTGATATGTTTTTTCTTTATAAAGTACTTCTCTTACAATACACTGCACATTTTTCAACATGTCTACACATTGCTTATGTTCCTAGATGTTGCTTCAGTGTTACTAAGTTCTAACAAGGAAGCTTA